CTTTTTACAAATTATTGGGACAAATTCAAACACACCCCCAAGGACTCAGAAGCCAAAGTATTGAGAAGCACAAGTAAATGATCAAGAAATACGAGAGACGGCAACCTCACAGGTCATGAAGGACATGGAAATTACTTTTAGTGGGAAATCACAATTATGTCTAGCCCTGAGTGATGGTTGTGACTTGGGCTAATTTCGGTTCTGGAAATATTGGTTTGCACACTTTTGTAAAGGTGGCTTATGCATTTAAAGATATTAATTTATTTATATTGGAAAGGCAGATTTATAAGCGAGAGGGACTGACAGATCTTCTGTGTGCTGATTTTACTCTCCAAGTGGCTGCAATGGCCGGAGCTGAGCTGATCTAAAGCCAGGAGTCAGGAGCTTCTTCCAGGTCTCACATGTGGGTGCAGAGTTTCAAGGCTTTAGGCCATCCTCTACTGCTTTCCCAGGCCACAAGCAGGGATGCAGGATGGGAAGTGGAGCAACCTGGACATGAATCAGCTCCCCCAAATGGGATCTCGGCACATGCATGGCAAGGATATACCCAATCGAGCCATCACACCAGGGCCGGTTTATACATTTTGATAAAATAGTTCACAGCTAGTTCATTCTAGCAGGGAGTTAGAGTCAAGAACCACAGTCAGGAATCGAATCCAATCCGTGTATTCTGATGTGAGATGTCTGTTGCTTTTTTCTCTTGTGCTATACTACTCTACAATGACAGATTCTCAGCAAAATTTGCACATGGTGTTCCTGTCTCTTTGGTTGGCTACTCTATATCTCCAACAACCAAGCCTAAGGATGTTTACATAATAAAGCCAATATTTATAATATAAAATATGATTTAAAATGTAAAAGTGGGACCCAAGTGGTGATATAGAAAGTTAATGGTGACATAGAAAGGCAACATGACCCTGGAAAACAGGTGCTTCACCCAGTCTGTTCCAGCGACACACCTTCCTAGCATCTTATTCCATATATGAACACAAGGGGGCGTAATAACCCTAGGTAACTAGGCAGAGCTCCTCTAGCAGATCTTGCGTTTTTCCATTGTATGAGAACAGAGCAGAACACTTTCCAAAACTGACTGAAAGGGAGAAATGGCGTGTGTGAGTTAACCTTGATCTTCATAAGACCAATGGCGAGGCTCCAAGCCCCTGGGAGCCAGTAGCTTGATTGAATTTAGTCAAATCATCCTTTGGAGTAAGGTTCATGTGCTCCAGAGGATAAAGAATTCAATATGGATAAGATAAGGAGTGGTAAGTTGATAAGGCAGATATGGGTATAACAAGGAATATGATAAGTCGCTGGCATCTGTAGAATTTTATAGAGCCCTTGATTTGCAGTCGAAAAAAAAAAAAGATTTCTCGCATCAAAATCTAGATGTTTGGAAATTCCAAAGATTGGCGTGATACCATTCAGCAAAACCTGGATCATAATTCAGACTTCTGGCACAAACTCTGGCCTTCCAGACAACACACTCAGCAATGTTCTTACCTTCGGATGGCAGAAGCTTTGTCTAACTCATTTGCCAGGCTCGGCAAGTTACCCTAGTAGCTAAATCCTGGCCTTGCAAGCACCATCCCATATGGGTGCCAGATTGTGTCCCAGCTGCTCCACTTCCCATCCAGCTCCCTGCTTGTGGCCTGGGAAAGCAGTTGAGGATGGCCCAAAGCCTTGGGACCCTGCGCCCACATGGGAGACCCGGAAAAGGCTTCTGACTCCTGGCTTTGGATCGGTGCAGCTCCTGCTGTTGCGGCCGCTTGGGGAGTAAATCAACAGATGGAAGATCTTCCTCTTTGTCTCTCCTTCTCTCTGTATATCTGACTTTCCAATAAAAATAAAGTAAATCTTAAAATTGTAATTTTAACAGTAATTTCATTTTATTTTTAATGATGTTTACAAAATTGAGAGGGAGGAATACCTGGTCTACCCTCCGATCCAGCTCACATGTATGCCAGTGGGTGCTGCAGCCCTGCCTGGTCTAGCCTGTTTTCAACCCCAATTCTTGTGCTCACAGCTGGAGTTATAGTAAGCAATTCCCCTACTTATATCTTTTCCCAGTAACACTGCTACCCAGACTGACATGGTTGGCCCCAAGTCCTGACACTTAGTGGTAGATACTGGGACCTAGCCCGACCGGCCCCAGTACACTACAGTTCTTAACAGTGAATGCTACAGCCTAGTACAGTCTGGCCCACTCCCATACCTGGTTCTCAAGTGACCTACCAGAGGCCATGGCCTAGCCTGGCCTGTCTCATATCCATTCTGGTTTTGCAATCACTAAAGTGCTGAAGCCTAGCTGAATTGAGTTTCCCACCCACGTGCAAGGCAGTGGGTGCTGCAGCCTGGTCCATCCTGATCTGCTCACAACCCCACCTATAGCCATCACCAGTGGGAGCTGCAGCCCAACAGGGGAGTTCCCAGCGATTTGCTATGAAGCCTATTTCCAGCCCTGGGTCTTGTGCCAACCCAACTGGCATTGCTCACCCTTTGTCTGAGCCCTTGCTGACAGGTGTTGCAGCCTAGCCCAGCTTTACATGGCCCACACCCTATCTTGGCTCTTGTGCCTGCCAGTGGGTGCTGAGGCCTGGACCAGCCTGACCTGCACCCCAGGCCCAACCCACATAAACACTGATGCAGCTACAGCCTTGCCTTGCATGCTTCCAACCCCAGTTATTGTGCTCCCCGGGGGAGCGGGGGAGCTGCTGCCTAGTGGGAGATTTCTCCAAGTTCTCTTACCAGGCCTGCTCCTAACCCCGGATCCTACACATGCCAGTGGATGCCTGCTTGACATGATCTGCCCTCAGTCCTGGTCCTTGCATGTGCTGGTGGCTACTGCATTCTGGTCCTATCTGGCCTATCCCATTCCAGCTCCCACAAGTGTCAGGGGATCCCCAGATCTGGGTATCTCACATTCTGGCAGGTGCTACGGTCCAGCCTGACATGGCCCATCCCTTACTTTGACACTGAAACCTAGTCCAGCTGGTGTACCCTCCAGCCACGACTTCTGTGAGCACTAGCAGGTGGTGGGCAATGCTATTATCTAGCCCAGGTCCCATGTGGGTGGGTGGGTGCCTTGACCTGACCCAGACATGCCCCATATTTTTCCCCTCTAAACTACTCCATCTCAGCTTCCTTGCCTACTTGGCTCAAACCATGGATGACTCCAGAAGTCATTCTCCCTTCTCAAATATGTCTTCAGGTGTTCCCACTCCAATACATCCCCAGACTCCCCCCGCCCCCTTCCCCGGGCAATCTGCAATCCCCCAACCTGGGGGCCAGGGTGGTGTGTCCCAGCCCAGGTTTTCCCACCTTCTCCACTTACCTTAAGCAAAAGAAAAAGATTAGTTACTCCTCACTAGGGTATTGAAGATTTCTCTGTACACCCCTCTTAAAACTGTTCACCTAAACTGTTGACACGTGTCTTGTTAGAGTTATAGAGTTAGACTACCTGAAAAACAGCCAGGTTCAGCAAAATCATGCTTCAACACTATAAACTGCTAAATACTAAAATTAAAATAGACACGAGACAGCTGAATAGTAATTTATAGCCATTCTAAGGTGTATAGAAACCAGTTGTATATAAACTAATAATTGAAATGTCAATGAAGTAGTCATAGGATGTGGTTCAGAACTTGCATTCTTTTTTTTTTTTCAAACGTATTGGTTACTCAATACCATGTCAACTAATTCCATACCGTTATAAATAGTTACTGATGTAATGTCGGGGCTGTTAATTGATCGGGATGATACTCTACCAGCTCTACCTTCAGACCAGAGATGGTCTCCCCAAGAAACCGTTGAACTTATCTGGACAATAAGATGCTGGACTTTATGCTTGGTAAATGCTTGCAATGAAAGAATCTCAACTGAATCTGAACTGTGGTAATGCAACAAGGTGGAGGAGTCCACCATGGGGGGAGGGTTTGCAGAAGGGTCGGGGGAATCCCAGTGCCTATAAAACTGTGTCACATAATGCAATGTAATCAATTAAAAAAAAGATGCAGAACTGAGTAAAACCAGATCACAAGGTGGGCTGTGTGGCCTCCAGCCCCTCTGTTTCTTTCTCACTCACAGTGTAGCTTTGGGTAATTCCCTTGTACTGTATGGCCTTGCGTTTTCTTTGAGGGGAGATAGCAACTCTGGGACTAGGTGGGCATTTGGTGTGACAGGGAAGGCAGCCTGTGGGACACCCACACATCCAAAAACATGGTCTGATTCGAGTGCTGACTCTGCTTTCCATTCCTGCTCATGCACACCCTGAGACAAGTGGGAGCAGCAGCTTCAGTGCTGGGATCCCGGTCTCCCAGGTGGCAGACCTGGATTGAGTTCTGGGTTTCAGGCTTTAGCTCGGCCCACCATGGCTGTTGTGGAAATTTGGAGGAATGAATGAACCATCTGTCTCTTTCTGCCTTTCAAAGAAGATGAAAATAAATCAATGAGAAGATTTTCTTTTTTTAAAAGTTACGCTGATTTCAAGGCCTATCAGAACACAAGTCACTGCCATGGGTGTGTTCCTTTGTTGGGGGTTCTCAGCAGGTGCTTGCTGCACACGGGGCAACCAGACATGACAGGCTGTCCCTGTTGGTGGACCACTAACCTGGAGGACTTCAGTCTCTTCAGAAGGATGAGCTAGAAGAGCAAGTAGTTCCGATACATTGTGATAAGTATAATGCAGAAAAGGCAGCAGAAAACAGAGATAATGGAACTCTCCAAAGAAAAAGGCCAGGTGAGTCTCTTAGAGGTAGGGTCAGTTCTTTCCTCAAGACCAGAGACCTGTGTAAGTGCTCTCCCTGCATGAATGCCACTGCCTTCCCAGGGCATATTTTGTGTAGGATGGTTAACACGAGTTAATCAGTGTGTGGCACTGCCCTTCAAGCTGGTGCTGTGTTCTCAGTGCTGGGCCTCTCTGTCTCTAATTTATTGCCCATGACTCATCTCTACCCAGAGCAATAAAGTGCTGAGTGTGGACCCAGCCTGCGCTGTCCTCCAGCATGCTGCCAGGTCGCTCCTCGCATTTGTCAGGACACCTGCAACTCTTGCTCCTGACCTTGGCTGTCCTTGTGGTGGTAGCTCAGACTGCCCCAGGTATTAGAACTGTGTAGGGGTGAAGGGAGTGGTGGTTTGGGGCGGGGGGGGGGGGAAGGGTGGGAACAGTCATTAGGAAATAGAGTGTGCATGGGAGTGTGGAGAGCCCACCGGGATGGCTCAAAATGAATACTCCTTCCCAGGCAACTGGAGTGCACCTGCAGAGACCGGGGTGTGTCACATTCAGGCTCTTCCACACACTGAAGCAATGCTTGTACCCTGATGTCTCTACCTCAAATGCCAACTACAGAGCCCCTCCCCAGAAAGCTCTCACTTCAGTCCCACTCCCAGATTGTACCACCTCTGGCGGGAACCAGTCTTACAAGTCAGCCCATCACTATTGCCTGTAAAGCAGGTGGGGAAGAAGCATCCTACCCCTGTCTTAGAACATGTGATGACAGCTGTGGAGGCTAAAGTTGATGTCTACAGATACGAAAAAACGGGTTCCAAGTGTGGAGCTGTGGTTAGAGTAGAAGATTCCGGATTACAGATGGAATAATTAGGGTCAAAACTAATGATTTGACTGGCTTGCCACCAGATAGGGAATACTACCATGTACTACCTGTGGATGTTCACTATTAACTGTCCTTTATAAAATCAGCATTTCAAGGTCTTTGCCAATAACTCAGTTGTTGTTCTAATGGTCAAAGGATGTGTTTCAAGGAGAATCCTTGGGGTACTGGTAGCCTGCCTTAAAAGTTGGTGAGGGTAGTTGGAATAAATGAGTAAAGTTGCAGATGTAATGGACATTTTGGAAAAAGAACAAGCATAGCGACATAAAAAGTATTAGAATGGATAAGTAAGAACCAATAGCATGCTAATGTTTCCAGTAAGAACACACTGGTGAGAAAGACAGAATAGGAAACTCTGTCCCAGTCAGGGAGTTTGGGGGAAAGATATGTGCGTGGGATCTGTTATTTTTATTTTTTAAATATTTATTTATTTTTATTGGAAAGGCAGATCAGATTACAGAGAGAAGGAGAGACAGAGAGAAAGATTTTTCATCTGCTGGTTCACTCTCCAAATGGCTGCAATGGCCAGAGCAAATCCAGGAGCCAAGAACCTTCTCTGGGTCTTCACACAAGTGCAGGCCCAAGACTTTGGGCCATTCTCCACTGCTTTCCCAGGCCACAAGCAGGAAGTTGGATGGGAAATGGGATAGCTGGGACACAAACTGGGACTCAAATAAGACCCCAACACATGCAATGGGAGGATTAGCAAATTAAGCCATTGTGCTGGACCCTCTGTTAATTTTTTTTTTTTTAATTTCTGTGACACTCTGATTTTTTGAGGATTTATTTTTTTTATTTGAAAGGCAAAGTTAGAGAAAGATCTTCTGTCTGGTAGTTCACTATCCAAATGACCACAACAGTTGGATCTGGGCAAAACTAAAGCCAGTAATCAGAAACTTCTTCTGGGTCTCCCACGTGGGTGCAAGGGCCCAAACATTTAAGGTGTCCTCTGCTGCTTTCCCAGGCACTTTCGCAGGGAACTTGGATGCCAGCATTACAGGTGCCAGTTTTACCTGCTATGCCACAATGCCAGCCCCAGAATCTGTTACACAGACTGTGGTATCTTACATGCAACCGCACAAATTGTTGTTGAGTGTGTGAATACAGAAAATAAACAATCCCTCAAGGCTTGGATCCATTGCTTGGCAAGCCCTTAGCTTTACAGTGGAGGGAAGACTGAGAGAGGGAAAGTGGCTTACTTAGAAAGATGGAGACCATGTAAATAAAATTCAGTGGGGCTGGTTGGAGAAAGGCAGGCACCGAGTTGTGTCAGCTGGACATTGAGACTGGCAGGAAGCGCTCTACACACACAGCTGGACAGCGTTCCAAAATGGCTTTCTCCTGTCAAGGTCAGTGTTCTGTTATTACTGTGATAGACAGCATCTTCAACGTAGTAAGGTTGTATTTTTTCCTGTAACTTATGTCTTTGTCTATTTTGATAGAAGGATGGCTCAGAAAGTGCTATTACGGACTTGGAAAGTGCAGAAAGTCATGCAGAGACAATGAGAAGAAGAAAGGAATATGTATGGGGAAACGGTCCTGTTGCATCGACAAAGAAAAGGCTCACCTGTCACGATATGAGAACAAAGACAAAAGTGAGGCTACCTACATAACTGTTTAAGCTTTATGAGCTCATAGCCACTCTAGTGAGTCAGTGAGACATCTATCTGAGGCACCTGCCTGCTTCTGAGATTCCTGTGGGTCCTCCATTCTCTGAAAATGCCATTACAGCTGTCAGGATAGCTAGGCTTTTACCCTGCCACAGCGCAACAACTCTAAGTTGCTCTGAAAGACTTTATAAGAGCTGGACCTGACTCCTGAATCTCTGTCTAGGTGCTTCCAGTAACCTTAATATCGGACTTACTGCAGGCTAATGGCAGGTGTACCTGGGCCACAGATTCTCATATGACATCTCCTCCTGGTGAGTTTACATGCATGGGCAGTGTGGGCCCGAGGTTGCTCCTCTATTAATTTAACTCTAGACTCTTTTGTTGGTCTCATTCTTCTAATTTGTCTCTTAGCCCAAGATGCTAATCACACTTAATAACCAAAGATTGACATACCCAACAGAACAGAAGGCCACCGTTCCTGACCCAACCAAGGGAAGGAGAAATGGCTTTTGAAAGTTCAGTGAGCACCGATAATTTAGCACCTATAAGGCTTCAACCTAGACCCTTTCCATACATAACCTTACTTTGTGTCAACAAAGGCCTCATGAGATAGGAACCAACGCCGGGTCTCTTTGCCTGAAGAGAAAATGAAGGCAGTTTCAAGGACTTGCCAAAAACGGCACAGATAACAGGTTCAGCAGTGGGACCATAAGCTCACAGTGCCTGCATTCAGACCCTGTGCTTTGTGAGAGTGGAAGATTATCCGTGGCTGTAAGAGGAGCTTTACTCAAATCTTACTATCCAGAGCAACTTCCTTCATGCAGAAAGTGCAGTGAAAAGATCTTTGCACTCCCCTTGTAGTTCAAACACGCATTGAACCTAGTCCTAGTTGATATCCCCAGACACAGACAAATTATCCTGGGTCCCACTTTGAAGATCGTCTCAGTTCAGAGTCCAGTGAAAGACAATGATCCCTAGCCCACATCACATGGATGGCTGCAGAAAGCCCTTCAAAGCCACGCGCAGAGCTGGTGTTTGTATATATCTTTAGCAAGAGAAATGATGGTCACAGTTGGATTGAATAGTCTTAGAGAGTCAGACCTATAGACACAAAGGAGTGAGAAAGGTGCGGAGGAGATTCTGATGCACTCACAGGATGTTGTTTAAGTCGTCTTCCCACTCTTGGCCTCAGCCTGACTCTCTAAAATGGGAGTGAGCCTGGGAATCAGGAAAGTAGCTCTCAATCCAAGTACTCATGACACACCCCTAAAATACATCACAGATGCCCATTTGTTGCCCACTGTCTCTTACACACATGCCAACCACACAGACCTTCCAAGTCAACCTCTGTGGCACCTGCTCCCAGCCCCTCCTCTGCTGTTCCAACGTAGCCATAGTCTTTCCTTGCTGTTGTTATATGGAGTACATCTTGTCACCCTCCTCTCAAAACCTATACGCTCAAGTACTAAAGTCCCGAACCTCAGAATGTGACTAACTTTGGAAATAGAGTCTCTTAAGGAGTAATTAAAACAAAATAAGGTCATTTTGGGGTGGTGCCTGATTCCATGATTGATTTGCCTATTAAAATACATTAGGATGTAATTATTTTGCAAATGGTTATGACACACAGAAAAAACATGTTGAGACCCAGAAGATGAGGACTGTCCACAGCCAAGGCCAAAGGTCTCAGAAGAAACCAAGACCAGCGCTGCCTTGTTTTTGGACCTTCAGCCACCAGCACTGTGAGACAATAAATTTCTGTCACTGAAATCACCCAGTCTGTGGTCCTTTGTGACGGCAGCCCTCGTGAACGAAGGCAATCCTGCACTGTGCATCCTGTTCTACCCTTGCTTCAAATGATGGGCCCCACCTCCTGATTCTTCCTGCTAATGTAAACACAGGAGGCAACATGTGCACACTCAGGAAGTACTGGGGACTCTGTCACTTACATGGGAGGTCTGGCCACTGAGACATCTGGGAATGGACCAGTGGGAGGAAGAGCTCTTTCTCCCTGTCTCACTAATAAGTAAACATTTTCCATGACCTCAACAACCATTATACAAGTCCATTCTAAGCATCTTCTCGCCTTGGTCATCTCATTTATAGCTGCTCCTCCCATGTCCCAACATGGGCCTCATAAACAACTTTTGATCTTGGCAAACCATTAATCTAATTTTTTGACTTGTTTTTTTAGAGGCTGTTCCTTCTGTCTGGAGGGTTTTTCAGACTACCCTGCCTTTCCAAATCCTACCTCCAACCTATTCCCATCCAAGCCCTGGTTTCAAGATAAACAACATTAATCAAGCTCCCTAAAACAAACACCCAGCTTCAAAACCCAACAATTAGCTCATGTCCAACCTCTCCTCACTCCAATTCCAATATTCAACTAATTTTCTATTCCAAGAATAATTTTATTTTATTAAAATAAATAGATATTAAAATATGGAATGCTTCACAAATGTGTGTGTCATCCTTGTGCAGGAACCATGTTAATCTTCTCTGTATTATTCCAATTTCATTATATGCACTGCCAAGTGAGCACTGGTCAACTAATTTTGCTTTCAGGTACAATCAACCACAAAGGCATTGCTCGACCAAATCTCTTGCAAAACATTGGGTCAGCCTAATTCCATGGTTGCCTCCCTCCTGGCCTACTCCATTAGATTTTCTACTACCAGCCTAGTGCAAAGATCCTGTCCTCCTTGCACCCCATTCATGCTCCCATCTGCACAGGCATTCCTTGATTCACCCTAAAAATCTGTACCTTCTGCTCAGTCCCTCACATCCAAGCCAAGGGGAAAGCCAGAGGGCTTGTCTGGGCCACTGCAGACCATTTGGAAGACCTGGGCTGGATGAAATAATATTGCCTGTCACCCACAAATGCAAAAGCTGGAGCTGGGAGGAATGCCTGGCTGGCCTAGGCAGCAGTACCTACCTGTGAATGATAGAGCAGGAGGTGGGCCACATCTGGCTGGGCCACAGAACCCACTAGAATTGCAAGACAACCAGATCTGGGAGCATTTTCTGTAGGGGACTTGTGGCTCACCTCTGTGGGACTGCAGCACCCACCTGTTCGCACAGAGAGCTGGGTGTGGTGATGGGACAAGCCAGGCTGGACCACAGAACTCACCTGACAGGAAACCCCTTGACACTTGCAGGAACTGAGGTTGGGAGAATGCTGGGCTATGCCAGACTACAGCACCAGCTGGCACATGCCAAATAGGCTGGTAAGCGTGAGGTCCGGGTCTTTCATGGGCTGGCTGGGATGAGCTGTAGCACCTGTTGGTTTGTGTGAGAGATGGGGCTGGGACAAGAACTGAGCTGGCAGCTGCATCCAGTGGTATGTATGTTGGCTGGAGCAGGTGACAGATAGAGCCTGACCCTGCACTGGCTGGCACATGTAAAAGGTCACATTTGAGGTCACCCCAGGTTAGGTTCCTTGGAGACTTCCCAACTAGACTTGCTAGATTCATACCCTGGCCACCCTGGAAAATCATGGGACATGTGATCCAACCTAGGGGTACATGTATTGGGACTGGACCTCCTCAATTTCTAGCACCTGTGCAGTAGACAGCATGTCCAGATACATACACACTGTGGACATAACATCCAGTTCATCTAGGCCAGGAGGGGACACTAACTGCCTCATTCGAGGATGGAAAGCAGAATAGATTGGAGAGTTCTGCTGGTCAATGTAGCAGCATGTTCCTAGATTTGCAGGTGACAGGTGAACTCTGTCAATCAGCAGAACCTTGGAAAGATTTTCTCAAACCCAGAGCAACAAAACCAATGACTTCTCAAAATTATCAAAACCACTCAGGTGGCACCGTTGGAGTGCTCTTCCCCTCACTGGGTCTCTAAGGCACCAAAGAACCGTCCCCCATATCTAGGTGCTGATGTAGTTTGACAGCAAGGAGCAACTCACTCCTCCTCCTCCCCTGCGGTCATAGGAGAAAAAAGACTGAAACATGCCCCCACACCACCTTCCTGAGTATCAGATTCTCTCCACCTTAATCAGAGGTTCACACAGGCATGCATCCCTCTCAGCTGTGTAGACAATAATAAAAAGAAAATGAAAAATTAAAATAATAGTAAACTTAAAAATAATAGGCTTCTTAGGCAGGTATTCGACTTAGTTGTTAGGATGCCAATTGGGGTGCCTGCTCTCCCGGGGGAGAGGCTTCCGTCTTCTGACTTCTTCAAGTCTCATGAACATGTAGGAATGACAGCATGGCGTCTGTCCTGCTGCCAGTTCCAAGCAGCCTGGCAAGGCCAGCACTTTCCGTGTTCTATGTGAAGTGAGACAGGAAAGAACCCCCTTGGGGAACATGCCGGGATGGCAGGAGACGGTGTTTGCTCTACTCCATGGCCCGTTTCTCCTAAGGAGAGGCAGCAAGCTCTTCCGGCACTGTGATGCCAGCTTGTGAGGAGGCCTGACAGGGTCAAAGAGATAGTGCCCATTTTCATCTGCTTCAGGAAGGAACCCCTCTGGGTACTGTATATCTCTAATTAGATCATTGACTTCTTATCAAAAAAATTATTCAGTGTTTTACTACAAATGCCTTCCTTTATTGACTAGCTGCCTCACCATAGCAAGCTATCACTTCCAATTGGTAAGCTTTGGAGTTCACCTGTGTTCCCCTATTTGTTAAATCAAAAGCAAACAAATGGCATTCACCAGGTAGATAACTGGGGCCAAAACAATTAATTGGGCAACTGGCATCCTACATGAAAGCATTTGAACCTTGAAGGGGGGTCTCTCTGGGACTCATAACCATAGACTGTGCTCTGGGATGGCGGAATTTCTGACAAGTCCCTGTGTATCTCAGGGATTATAAATTGATATCATCTCTCATAATTCTTCAGCCCTAGAAGCACTGAACCCCTCCTATCTAGTACATCGTACCTACTGGTTTTTTGGACATGGTAAGGATGTTCCGTTCCTTTCTAGACTCTATGGGACAGTGCCCAGAGCACAAACTGTGTCCACACGATTGGACCGTGATGTTCTAAGCAAGGCTTCATTAACCTGGCCCTACGGCGCGGGCTGCCTTTTGCACAGAGGGCCGTCTGTTATGTGAGACCTGCGGAGGTCTGAACACAATCCTGGCATTCTCATTGCTTTCTTCTTATCCTCGGCTCTGTCTGAGCAATCGCCTGGGTACAACAATGCTCCCGTATAGACAGTTGTCCCAAACCTTGGTGCAGGAGTGGCCAAAGATGGAAAACATGTCATCCTTCGGAGGTGACATCCTTAAAAGAAAGAGAGCAAAGTTTCAAGAGGCATCTCACCATCCCACTTTTGGCCAATTCCACTTCCTTCTGTATGAACCAGGCTCATGTTGGAGACAATGTAACCCACCGATAACTGCTGGGCAAAAGGATACAACTAGGAATAATATAATGGTGGAAGTTGCCTGTACCTGATACTGTAGGAAGCTGATACATCATCTCTTGTTCATATGACAGAAGGAAAGAATAAAAATTTCATTTGTGGGCCAGGCATGATGGCTCAATGGCAAATTCTCATCTCAAGTGCCGGGAACCCATATGGGCACTGGTTCATATCCTGTTTGCTCTACTTCACATCCAGCTCCCTGCTTATAGCCTAGGAAAGCAGTAGAGTGTGGCTCAAAAGCCTTAAGAATCGGTACTTGTGTGGGAGACACAGAAGAAACTTCGGGATCCTGGCTTCAGATCAGCTCAGCTTCAGCTGTTGTAGCCATCTGAGGAATAAGCCAGCAGATGGAAGACCTTTCGGTCTCTTCCCTCTGTCTGTAAATCTGATCTGCCTTTCCAATGAAACAAGTAAATCTTTTTGAAAATTATCATTTGTAAAAGATAGAAGTTTCTTTCTTATTTTTAATTTCCTTTACTTTTGCTGTTAAAATGAAGGAAATTACAATGGAAGACTGGTGGAGAAAATAGTTTTTAAAAATTTAGGTCTTCCATTTATATTGAGCTTATTTTTTATGGTAAGAAGTAGGAAGCTAATTTCGTTTCTCTATTTATGTATATATTTTGCCAGCACCGTGTAATTAAAAGACTATCTTCTCTCCAATGTATGCTCTTAACATCTTTGTCAAAATCAGTTGATTGTACTTGGATTAATTTCTGGGTTCTCTATTCAGTTTCACTGATCCAAGTGTCAATGCTTATGCCAGGACATGCTGTCTTATTACTACAGTTTTACAGTATACTTGGTGCTAGGTACTGTAAATACCTCCTCCAGCTTTACTTACTTACAGTTTTTGCTCAAGGTTACTTTGACTATTATAGGTTTTCTATGGTTCTTGGTGAATTTCAACATTGGTCTTTTTTATTCTATGAGGCATATCATTGGTATTTTATGGGAATTTCATTGAATCTGTGTATTTCTTTGGATAATATGGACATTTGAACTACATTGTTTTTCCCATCTATGAACATGGAATATATTTCCTTTTATTAATTTCCTTTATTATTTCATTGGTTGACATTCAATAATTACCATCATAGAAATCTTTCACTTCTCTGGATAAATTTACTCCTAGATAATTTAATTTTTCAGCTCATTGGGAATGGCATTGCGGTTTGGAACAGCTTGAAGGCCACACACTATTTGTAATGCCAGCATTCCTCATCTTCCACTTATTTCATTAAATTTATTTCTAAATATCTTTTTTTGTCATTGGCTATGGTGATTGGGAGAGATAATTGATGGGAAAATGAAGCAGAGGAACCAGCAATAAAATCTGTTTCCTATTTTCTTCCTATTCCAATTCTCATAATCAGTGAATTCACATGAACTCGACAGTTGAAAAGCTGTCTTCCTTTTTTCAAAGGAATTCAGACTGGGGCAATGATGCCAATGAAAAGGAAACACCTCTAGTGGAGGTCGTCACCTGCTAATCTGTCACAAGTGGGATCTTCCCGTGTGCTGCTTCCAGTGGGTGTGTACAAGATACTGCACTTGGATAGAAGAGAAACAGTGGATTCCACCTAAGGCCCAGAAAGATTTCTTGAAGGAGTCCCATGTCCTATGGTATCATCCAGGAAGGTGTCTGTTTCCTGTAGTCATTTTGAGAACCAGGCATTGTGGTGTTATGCACACTCAGTGATGCAGGGAATGACTTGGAGAGCAGAGCAGCATGGCATTCTCTCCCTCTCTGGTTCGTCACCCATGATGGGCCAGCCAAGAAGCCCATTTAGAGCCCTACCTGCAAACCGTTCTGGCTTCCTGGGGACCTAGAGCTCCTTTCTCCTGAGCACTATGAATCTCCCAGTGTTGACCTGCACTCTCTGTGCACTGCTAAGCCAGATGGCCCAAGGTAATGGAACCCTGTAAAGCAAAGCTGATGGGACTAGGACGAGTTGTAGTGCTTGGCTCCCCGGATGTGTTGAGGAAGGAGGGATGGGAAGAGCCTGTAAGAACAGCTTACGGGGTCAAAAAGAACAGCAGAAGCTTTCAGTTTGTGCCGATCCACACCTGAGCCTCTTCCTGTGCCAGGCATCCAGCCAACATGGGTGTCCTCTGAGTCTTCTTCCCAAAGGCAAGAAGTCCCTAAGTGCTCTAAGCTGTTCTCTCTCTCCTCTCTCTCTTTCTCTTTCTGTCTCTCTCTCTCTCATCATTCTGTATTAGCCTGGCCTCACTTTGTTTCCATATTGCACTGTTGTGTCCTACCCATTAAACTCTAACTTCTTGAATCCTTTGACCTGATGGTACTTTACATTTTCATGTCCTTAGTTAGATGGGATACGCAAGCCCATTGGTACTGATGATTCGGCAGAGCTGTCATGGGGCAGACACAACGCACAAGTTGGAGGTAGAAATGAGGATAAGTATTTTTCCTTTAGGGATTCGGTCTTAAAAATTAACTTAGAAATTCTCTGAACTGCATTTTGTATGTTTTGACGTGAGATAGCACCTGATGTCTTGTGAAACCACTAACCAAGCTGTCAGTACACTCAGTTTGGGGAATGGAGTGACATAGGATGGAATCAGATCACGCACTTCTGTTCAGAATCCTGTGATGCTCTGATGGTCCTCTCGTGATCATGACCTTGTAACTCCTGGTTTTATGTCCTTGTTCTCCCCACTGAATGAATGCTGTTCCTTGCTCAGCCCAACAATCTCCAGAGGCGTTTGTGCCAGACACCGTTGTGGCTGTCACGTGGATTCATGCTAACTCCTTGTGGATAAGCTATAATCTGCTCCCCTGACACTCCAATTGCCTTTAAGTCTATTATCCCTCTTTTATGCAAACCATTTATTACCTTCTTGTATACAGAATGATGTGCTTACCTCTTACTGTCTTTCTGCGTTATAGTAAGTTGTGTGTGATTTTTGTCTGTTTTGCTGACTGACATCCCTCGAGGGCTAAAAATGTCATTGTTACCATAGTGTGTGGCTGCAGTTTCAATTTTAAGGGAAGAGTTTAAGGTAGGAATGCCAGTGAGAATCAATTTGGAAGGACTGACAGAAGGAGCTTGAGAAGGGAAGAGTTCAGATGACTTGGATCTTCAGTTTGGATATACTGAGAAAAAAAAGCAAGATACTATCTTTGTAGATACGAGAAATGCAAGAACAAGGTGAGAATTTGTCTAGATTTGAAACTTACACGAAATGCCTTCTCAAAATGCAAAGTAAAGCAGAGGTAGTAAAACAGCAAAGATAAAATAAATTTGGGGCTGGCGCTGCCACATAGCAGGTTAAACTGGTGCTTGGGGTGCTACCCACCATAGAGGAGTCCCAACTACTCAGCTTCAGTTATGACTCCCTGCTGATGTTCCTGGCAAGGCAGTGGAAGATGACTCAAGTATTTGAGTCCCTGGCACCCACGTGGGAAACCCAGATGGATTTCTAGGCTCCTGGCTTCAGCCTGTTTCCACCCTGACTATTGAGGCCACACTGGGAGAGAACCAGTGGCAGCAGGAAGCTCTCTCTCCATGTTTCTCCTTTCCTCTGTTTCACTGCACCTTTCAATTAAGTAAATAAAATTTTTCCAAGAAGAAGCAAATAACTTGAGAAGTAGGACTAGAACTAACATTTCCCAGGAGGCAACATTTCATATGAACGGAATTATTATGATCTTAACCCAGGCCCATCTGTGCAAAACTTGCCCTACATTATCACCTTAAACCAAACAAGTTTTGTGTTTGAAGGATTACTCCTTTTTCTACCTTGCCTTCTTTGAGCTCCTGCTCTATGTGGCTCTCCCTGTCAGTTAAAGATGTCAGCCTACACTTGATGGATCAGAGTCAAATTGCAACCTTTGCACTTACACATTGCCAGCAATTGTCACAGCTGCTGCTTTATCCCTGTCTTCCATCCCTCTTGCCACACAGAGGAAGTGTGTTTTCTCCATCCAAAAGATCGTCTATCTTCTGTGTATCCACTCTGTGTTGTCCCTGAGAACTGTCCCTGTTGATCATCTGGTCCCCCTGGCCTGTATTAATCTCTTCCTTCACGATTGCCCCTTTCTAATCAAACTATATGCTCTGGTGGATTCTGTCTTGCACAACCAGCATGGCAAGCAATCCCGGGATCCCGTAGTGCCTGCCAACAGATCCTCTGTGTGTATGCTGGTCTTCACAGCTGAAATTTGTGCGTCTACTTTCCCCTCATTCACATGTCAACTGATTTCACTTTCGGGTTTCTTCTGCTCTGAAATTCAGCCTCTCTGATGCTGCTGGAAACTCCAGACCCTTAGTTGCCTTTGTCTTTCTTAGCTTCTCAGTGGCATCCAGCCACAACTCCATCCCTTGAGAAGTATCCTCCTCTCTTGCTCCATCCATATGAATCCAATGGACTCTTCCTGTATCCTCTGGCATACACCATTTTCGTGCGCACCAGAATCCCCAGTGCTCAGCCCAGGACTGTGAAATAACCCTGCACTGGGCAAGCCAGAAGTCCTTCTGAGGTCACCCATGAACCACTGGCTGGCGGGAAAGTGGATAGAGTCCAGTCCTTCTGACCCCTGAGAAAGATACCTGCATGTATGCTTGTGACCTGACACCTATGACTCCCCAGGATGCTGTGTTCTGGCCAACTGCAGTGGCAACTCATGTGAAAATTTGCCATTTTTAAATTTTTTCTTCTTGCTTTCCTGAATTTCCCATTTTCCAATTAAGTTTCTTAAAGATTTTATTTTTTATTTGAGAGTCAGATTTAAAGAGAAAGACAAAAGACAGAAACAGATCTTCCATCCACTGGTTCACTCCCCAAATAGCTGCAATGGCCAGAGCTGAGCCAATCCGAAGCCAGAGCCGGTAGGTTCTTCTAGGTCTCCCATGTGGGTGCACTATCTCAAGGCCTTGGGCCATTCTCTGCTGCTTTTCCAGGCCACAAGCAGAGAGCTGGATTGAAAGTGAAGCAGCAAGGATTTGAACCAGCACCCATATGGGATCATGGCACTTGTGGGAGTTGGGAGAGGATTAGCCTGTTAAGCCACTACACCAGCACCTCCAACCAAGTCTTTTAAGGAGGTGATTTCCTGTCAGCTAAACTAGTATGCTCAAATGTTTGCTCAGGGACTGCTTGGAGTGGGTCTCAGTTAACTCTCCAGAGTCTCATTCTCCTGATTTATTATGATTTGTCAGGTTGTTCTTTTTGGGTATTTGCCTCCCACCTGATTGCTTAACATTGCCAGAATTTAATTCTGACTCCCATTTTTCTCATTCCAAACCCCCTGGCTTATCAATTCCTATGGCTTTAAATACTATATGTCATCTATGATTTCAAGATTTATATCTATGCTGCAAACCTGTCTTCTGAGAGTTTGCAGGTGTGTATGCCTGCCTTCTTGACATCTTCAGAATATCATGTTGTATGCCCCAAAGCAAATACCTAAGCCTGCTGCTTCCTCTTTCTCCAAGTCCTGCTCATTTCTTAATTTTGCTGTTCTGTGAATGGCGAGTACCTATAATCATTCCTACTTCAATTCTGCAACCTAGAACTTGAATTTCATTTTTTTCTATCTCCCACTTACCTTAAGTTCAAAAGAGCTGTTGTCAAAAACCTGTCCTGTCCTGTCTATAACTCACAGCCCAGCACAAGCACCACTATGCCTTTCCAAAACATCCCTTCTAACCTCGATCTAACCTTGATTTTGAATTCTGACAAAACTGAAACTATAATCCACAAAGTCACGTAATGTCCTGAAATGATAGAAGGACATTTAAGACTCACCAAGAGGTGCTAGGAACACTGGCCCTGCCACATCAAGTTCATGACACCTTCTGGTGCTTTGTTCTTTCCACATTACTCTTCAGACCTGTCATTCTCCTTAAGTACACTCAACAGTTGCCCAACACCAACACCTGGCATTGCTACTTCTTCGTTGAAACTGCCTTTGCCTCCTGTGTCCCCGGATGGCTCATCTTCATCCATCTCGTCTAGTCTTGCCTATCAGCCCTATGCATGGATGACTTTCCTCTTGTTTTCCTCTTGTTTCTTCCTTCCCTCTCATCCTTAGGTGACACATGGCACAATTTTTAACACAGACTGTTTTTCTTGGTTGTCCCTCTCACAATGGCTATTAGTACCTGTCATTGCCAAGAGGGGAATTGTGGCAATTTTTGAATGAATGCATGATGCTAGACTTTAAAATTATGCTGCTGGGGTTAAAAATCTGACCTAGGGCCCAGCGCAGTAGTCTAGCAGCTAAACCTTCAACTTGCATGACCTGAGATCCCATATAGATGCCAGTTCTAATCCTGGCGACCCTGCTTCCCATCCACCTCCCTATTTGTGGTCTGGGAAAACAGTCGAGAATGCCTCAAAGCCTTTGGACCCTGCACCCACGTGGAAGACCCGGAAAAGGCTCCTGGATCCTGCATTCAGATTGGCACAGCTCCAGCCATTGTGATCACTTGGAGAATGAATCAACGGACAGATCTCCCTCTCTGTTTTTCCTCCTCTCTGTGTATCTGACTTTCCGATAAAGATAAAAAACAGATCTAAAAAAAAAATCTGACCTACTTTTCATCCCCTGCAGCTGGCTGGGGAGTCAAAAACTGCTGGAAGAATGATGTGGGATTCTGCCGAAGAAGGTGTCTAGATGATGAAAGGTATATACGTCTCTGTAAGAACAAGCTATCATGCTGCATTTCCTTAAAATTCTCATATGACGTCACTCGAAGGCCACCACCTGCCACAATCAACATAGAAGATATCACAGATATCATTGATTTGGATCAATCTGATTTCCCAGTGTCCGTGATCAATGATGAGGTGACATTTTTTGGAAATCCAGAAACCACGTCTGCTGTTCAGGACATTTTTTTCCCAGCCACAACACCACAGATATTAGGACACCCTACAAATCCTACTGCAAATGCTCTTCAGGAAACTAATTCTACCAGTCAAATTTTACCTGATACATCCCACTTGAGAACAAATGATCAGACAGATGAATGATGGAGTCACCACCACCTCGATGAGAGCCCAAACAGTCATCTTGTATCTGACTGTGTCAGGAGAAATATATGATACAGAAATACTCATTATTGGGCCTCAATGCTTTTCTGATTTATTAAAAGGCAGAGCTCATTTTGGTCTCAAGTGAACATTTGTGTGTCTTTTTATATTAAAAAAGAAAGAAAGAAAGAAAGAAAAAGTCAAGAACCACTGTTTGGATCTGCTGATTATGATTGAGACAAGGATCTCAACTTTGGTCATCCCTGGCCTGCTCTTCCCACACACACAAAAATGCACATAAAGAGCCAATTCCAGATCAGCGCTTCCTTACCCACAACCCCTACACCTGGTGTTACAGATTCTGATCTTAAGTACTTTCTATACCATGTCAACTTTTGTTGAAGTTTCTGACCAGTAACCATCAGCTTGAGTTAGAAATGAAGTCTTTATCTAGCACAAGCACATCTAAGTTTCATCAAGTGGAATAAATTGAAATAAATATAGTTAGGCCAATATAAATATTTTTTTCCTTCTCATGTCTATGTCAGATGACAAGCTCATAGGTTGACTCTTCATAAAAGTACTCTTTACTGTAATGTACTTCCATGCATAAAGAGTGCTCACTTTTAAGGCATTTCTTTCCATATCCCTACCTCAAATTTAACCTTTGTAGAGATGACCTTCCACCTGGCAATGCTCGCTCCCCTAGACTTGGTTATCTTCTTCTTTCAACTTAAGTGCTTATGTTGAAGATTTGTTCTCATTACCAATGAGTTGCTTAAAATGGCCTAACACCCCCGCCCTAGTGCACATATGGAGCATGTCTTGTATCTTGTCCATTACTGTGTCTCAAGTAGCAAGGTCAATGCCTTCTACATGATACATGCCAAATAAAATTTGGAGAACAAGTTTTTCACACAGCTATCAACAAATACGAGAAAATGACACAAAATACAGTTGTTATTTACAGATTATGATGCTGGTTACAAAAAGGTTTTACAGGATATTTCCATTGGACACAAAGACATCAAATTTCAGACCCTCAACTTGAGTGTTTCTTATGATGACATGACCATTTTTGTAAAAATTTCTAGTGAACATATAATATTTGAGTGTGTTTTTAAGGCATCATAAGCTAATTCAATGTATGTGCAAAGAAGGAACTAGCCTTGGCCTTCACAATTCTCTGGTGCCAAAATGAACCTCTAATGCATGTTACAGCAGGTCTCCATGCAGTCTAGCTGGATGCCTTGGAGGGATGAGACAGCAGTGAGAAAAGCTCTTCACAACACAATAGAGAAGCCAACACCAAGCTCATAGTGAAGCCTCAGTGGGAAAATGATAAAATAATTTTTTCATAATTTCTAGTAACATTCTAGAAACCCTGCAGGGATTATGCTCAAAGAGTAGTAACTCATTTAAAGAAGGGGTGAAACAATGTAACGATGAAGCCTGGGGGACAGACTATTCACATCCACTTTTGAGGAAAACAATGAAACATGTCTCTGTCCTAACTGGAAAGCAAGAAGGATTGACAACAGAAAAAGTAACCAACAACTCAAACAGCTCAGTTGCCTTAGCTTCAGCAAGCTGCACTAGGTAATGAGTGTAGAACAAACTTACGACTTGATGGGTGCCCTCTATCATCTGGGGGCAAGACCAGAGCTTTCAATGGAAATGTTCAGCAAGTAGAGGCCAAAACCACAAACGTTTCTTTGATTAGCTGTAACAGAAGATGAACTGTGACTTTACCTGAAGACAAAGCATAATCAAAGCCACAGCTATGGGAGGTGGGAGGAACTAGCCAAAGCACAAGTGCACCAGGCAGGATAAACAGCAAGGCAAAAAGGTTTTATTACTTTGTCTGTTGTTTATGATCAAGGCATTTTACTTGTTGACCCTCTGGCCAAAGAAACAGCCATCTGCTACCAACCTCACAGTCCTCATGTACCCATTCTGGCTTGTATCCCTTTCCTAATCAAAACAAAGGAAAACAAACTTTGAAGGACACACATTTCCTTCTGTTCACAATGTGAACAAAGACTGCACTGACATGGTTGAATTCCCAGGTCCCTCATTCTTTTCAGGTGGATGACACGGCAGGCCTCCTTGTTTAGCAAAAGTTGATTAGATGCTCTATGGATAATTACTGCTGATGCGTTTTCATTTTATCTTTTAAGTCCATTTACCAAGACATTTTAAGTCTTTATCATATTTATACAAGCTAGGAGCCATAAGGGGGCACTATATCTGCATTTTACATGGAGATTTACCTATGAATTTACTTATGAATTCTTTCAAAGAAAAACAGGACACAGATGCTTACTGAGCAAAACTGACACCTACTTGTTGTGCCTTAGTCATTCCACCACCAATTATCAACCCAAGGCATGTATACACACAAAGATCTGAACACAAATGTCTAGTTATAGTTTGCTTGGTTTTTGTTTTTGATTTTGGAAACAAAAACAAAATATTCATTCAACAGTGAATGAGTTAATTATTATAGGAGCATGCAGAAAATTCCCGTTAATGAAAAGACTATTATATTATGACATATTCATTTTCATTGTTATATTAATAAAAAAACAAACTGTTGGCATATAAACAAGCAAGATTCAACATAATGGCCTTGGATGAAAGAATTCAGGTAGAAAAAGGGGCAAACTGTGACTCCATTTATACAACATCCAAAAGGCCAGAAACATACCAGCACAAAAAAGTAGCTGATTCTTGGCATCGTGGAAGTGCAGATAAGAGAAGAAAGAGCAGTAGTGATCAAAGAGGCAGGAGAAACATTAAAGGGTTGGGTATATGACTGGTAGGTAGATAGATAGATAGATAGATAGATAGATAGATAGATAGATAGATACTATGTTGATTGCACTATGCTTTCACAAGTGCATGGTTTGTCAAACTCATCAAATTCTTGGCTTTTGGTACCGCAGTTCAGTCTATCTAAGTAGACATTATCAAAGAGAAGACCTAGAAGTGGCACACAGCAGGGATGGAACAGTGGCAAATCCTCTGTCTGTGGCAACAGCAACCATCAACTTCTGATCCAACTCTCTGCTTATGACCTGACAAAGCAGCAGATGTGAGCCAAGGATTCAAGCCTCTGCACACACATAGCAGACCAGGAAGAAACTCCTGGCTCTCAGCTACACATGGGCTCAGACCTGCCCAATACAATCATCAAGGATTCAAGTAGTGGATCACTCCCTATCTCTCTCTCTATCTACACACACTTTCTCTCTCTCTCTCTCTCGCTTGCTCACTATCTGTAACACTGAACTAAGAGGAAAAATAAATGATTCTTTTACAAGGTAGTAGCTGGCCAAAAGACAAAGCCATCAGATGCAAGTGCTGATCAGGAGATGTGGCAGAGGTTGCGATGGAGAGATGGTAGAGCCAGAGAAGGCTGGGTCAGGCCAGGGCAGGAGTCTGAGATGGATGCTCTAAGCAAGGAGCTCTGCTGACAAGGTACATAGTGGACAATCCAGAGCACAGGACACAAATGCTCCAATGGGATTTGGCCCCATGCTCTACTTTCCTTGTCCCTGCAGCCTCTGAGGATCCATCTGAGGGCCTCCTGACTGGGGCTGGGATGAGCCAGGCAACAAAAGCCCACTAGTGCTTCAGGTTGAGATAAAGGATGATTCTGGATCGCCCAGGGAAGAAAAGCCCATGGGAAAGGCACTGGGTCACTCCTTTCTCTCTAGAACCCTCTGCTCTGATGCTTTCAAACACTTGTGTCTTCTTTCCTCCTTAAGTGTCACCCCCTCTGCAAACCGTACTTCACGCTGTGCAGGGCATGCAGACGCTGCTGGAGGGTCCTCCCATTACAGAAACCAGACACAATACCTGAATGCCCCTCATGGAATCATGAGGCATTCATGTTTCAGGTGTGGCATTAAAGACATCTATGTGCCGTCATCCTTTAACTATGATTTACTCTTTTTCCAAAAAGACTTTCTAAGTCCCAGGTTATCAACAAAGTATTATTCACTTGTCCAACTCTCAGTTCATTAGAGCCTCCATGGAGAGAACTATGTATATGTACAGAATGTATATGTCACATGGGATCATATGTATTAAGTATTCAACAGAACATTGATTTTAGGGGAACACATAGTAAAGAAAACAGTGTGACAGAGCAGAATAACACATACTCTGAAAGAAGGAACGTAGCACAGGGTGAACAACCAGGCAGGGGTACCCAGGCCTGGAGAACCAGCACAAAGGCTTCCTTCTCTAAATCACCGTGCACTTCAACAAGGACTTGCACCTGCTCTTCCCAGCGTCTCTCCTCCCCCAACTGTGCTGCCACACAGATCCCGCACTGCACTGTCTCAGTCACGGCTGCTGGCCAATAGACGCAAGCTGAGGTTGGCACAGGTCCCCACAGCCTCCAAGCTCCCGGCTGAGCACACCCCAACCCAAGAAGGACAACAACGCTCTCTTCTCAAAGTGATCCTGAAGAGACACTTCTAGACTCTGGAGAGCCAACTGGCCAACGTCTGAGGAGCCATGAAGTCGCTGGTGTTGAGCCTTGCAGTCTTGATGTTCCTGGTCCAGTTGACCTCAGGTAACAGGACCTTGGAGAAGAAGAAATGTGGTCTAAAACTTGTTCCTGGCCCTGGATTTGAGTTCCCCTGCTCTGTGGTGGCAGGGGTGGAGTTCTCCCTGGCAAGAAGTGGGGAGGGAGTGGGTTTCTATTGTTCCAGAACAACTCTGCCCCATGTTTCTCTAATGGGACCTGGGGAGGAGAGGTAGAGCATGACACCTCTTCTTGTAGAGTGTGTGGGAGCAGAGGCGGCTCTGAGACCCACCTCCTCTGTGT